TTTAATTTGCTTTACCATCCTTTCTCCAAATTCAGTTGGAGTTATCAGGACATTTTTACGTAAGCATTGCTTTCTAATAGGTCTCCTAGTGTTGTAAGGCGTCCTAATATTGTAGCATTTTAGTAACTTTGCAAAGAGATCTGTTTCTAGTGCTAATACATAAAGGTGGATGGCAAAAGTGGCAATTTAGGAATCAGCCCTAAATCTGAAAGCCTTTTTACACTGAGGTGAATTTTTCTCAACTGGAAAATAGCTGAATTTGCTTCAATTACCAATTCTCTTCATTCTCTGAAACAATCTTTTTTTCTTATCTTACTGAGCAAGCAGTGATAAATTACTTTAGGTGCCTGTTAACAGTATTTTTTTTTTAAATCTATTTTTATATAGCAGTGAAGGACAGATGAGTTGCAAAAGTCTGACTTTATCTGACAGAGATAAAAAGGTTTTATATGTATTTTCTTGATTCTGTAAACAGAATTATACAATTATCCCCTATTCATTCATTGTTTCATAACCTCAACAAACAATTTAAAAGTTCCAGAAAAAAAAGTTTTTAAAAGCAGTTCTTAGTCTGAATGCTGAAATGGTAGAGGAGGATGAACCCAATAATCAAAATGAGAACTGAATCGAAAGAGCTTTGTATATGAACAAAATATATAGTTTGCTATATGTAGGGAAATTTAGGCTGTTTTCCTTGGAAATGTTAAGGTATTGTACCATATTTTGTGCTGAAAACTGTTAGAGTGGGCTGCGATCTCAATATACTCAATCCATGAACAGAAGCTATTATGCCCAGTATAATGTAGCCTATGGAAGTAATGAAGTGGTAAGTAATTGCACAACGTATAAATCATAACAAGAATAATTCTGAATAATGATCCTTTTATTTAAAAAAAACCTTGCTGAATTTACAGATTTTAAAATCAGTAATTTAAAATAATTAACTGTAAAATATTATTAATGGCCTAAGCACTATATTCTTTTTTTATCCTATTACCAAGAAAAATATTTTTCCTTCATGACAAAAATTCCAACAGTTCTTTTGCCTTCTCTATATATTTTTCATATTGAACACTCCAGTAATAAAGTTTTACTACATTAAAGAGCAGTGCATTGAATCTCAAGCAACATTTTTATAAGTGGAATAATTTTCTCTATTAAAGATAAGTTCCTTCTAAGAGAAGACTGTCTTTTAATGAAATCTACTTTGATCCACTACTGTGTATGAAAATAATCCTCAAATTTTCCTAAATTCAAAGAGTAGGAAGGAAGCAAATATTGAAATATTTTATTATATTGATTTGCGATGTCCTATGATGAGACATATCTAAGTTATCTCTGCATATTATTTTTTTAAAAAAACAAGCTCAACAAAGGAACATGTTAACTTTGCTGTCAGGAAAGGATAAAAGTCTAAATAAGTAATATACATATCAGGGGTGGGTTCTAATTTTTTTTACTACCGGTTCTGTGGGTGAGGCTTATTTTGTAGGCATGGTTTGATGGTCATGTGACAAACAATTCTTTAGGATTTAGCAGAGGTACTGGTCTACCAGGCTTTTAATTGCTTGCAGAGCCGTATCGGTCTACCCATTTGTTTTTGGAGCATACCGGTCTACCCATTTGTTTTTGGAGCACACTGGTCTACCACCACACTGCCTTTTATTGCTGATCAGCTGTAGGGTGGCCCTTTGAAGTGCCACGGCAAGAGTTTAAACAGTTTTTTGCCACTCTGCCACCACCGAGAGCATCGGAAACCGCTTTCAGGCAGCTAGGCCTCAACTGCCAATCTACCATCACTGAGCGGTGTACAAGGAGTGGATTGGTTCTAGCTGATCAGTTGGGAGGCTTCTTGGCTTCTCAATTTAAAGATAAGGTGTCTTGTTTTTTTTCTTCTCCTCTTTGTCAAGTGAGCGCTGATTTTTTCCTTCTAGCCGATCAGCTGGGACTCAGGAGGCATCAAATAGATTGAGGGCAGGGCCAGACAGAGGTGGTATTTACCGGTTCTCCGAACTACTCAAAATTTCCACTACCAGTTCGCAAGAATTGGGGAGAACCGGTAGCAACCCACCACTGATACATATATAGGCATCTATCATACAGTTATAGAAAAAAGATCTATAAGAAGGATTTTTTCTACAATATGAAAATCTGTACATTAAAAAATAAATGGTTATGGTAAAGTATAGAAAATATGGAAAATTAATGTGATGATTCTACTAAATATTTGAGAATTACACCTGTGTATGATTTCTTAATTTTCTGTATTATCCATTCTTTTGTGTATCCATGATAAAGTCCTCTTTTGTCAACTGAAAAAAAAATCATTTTTTTCTGATTTTCTAACAGCGCAATTTTACATAAGTCTACAGTGTTTCCCCGAAAATAAGACCCTGTCTTATATTTTTTTGAACCCTGAAATAAGCGCTTGGCCTTATCGCCATGCACTGAAAAGCCCAATTGGGCTTATTATAGGGGATGTCTTATTTTGGGGGAAACAGGGTACTTGAATATAAATTCTATAGGATTCAGTGCATCTATTCTTCAAATTACAGTTTTTTTTTAATTTGATTTATATTCCGCCCTCCTCCGGAGACTCAGGGCGGCTTACAATATGCTAAGCAATAGCCTTCATTCTTTGGTATATTTATACAAAGTCAGCTTATTGCCCCCACAACCGGGTCCTCAATTTACCTACCTTAGAAAGGATGGAAGGCTGAGTCAACCTTGAGCCTTGGCGAGATTCGAACCTGCAGTAATTGCAGGCAGCTGTTCTTAATAACAGGGTGCTTTAGACCACTGTACTACCAAGGCTCAGTTCTATGCTCTTGTACACAGGTATAATAATTATAACAGTATTTATTTCTAGCAGTAGTCATGCTAGCAAGAAACCTGCATCTGTTCTTAATACAAGGATTTGCTTCTATTTCAAGTGAATAAAAATAATGTAGATTATTTTTGCATAGTATATTCACCTTTCCCTCACCACCAATAACCACAATAAATGACCTTTTCCTTACTTCTATGTCACTATAGCCAACTGACACATATTTCTGATATGTTAAGCTAATAGATGTGAGATATAGGTTTGGAGCTGAAGATTTTAAAAAAAGAAGGAAATATATCCCTCTGATTTTATTTTATAGGCAAGGTAAGGGATCTGAACGGACATATAATGCTTAACTTTTACACTGAACTAAAATGTTTAAAAACTAAAACTAAAAGATTCGGCTAGCCTTAAACTGTTTGTATAAACACAAATCTTTTTCAGTTTTAAAATTATTAAAGTGGCAGATGAGTCTGGTTTGTGTTAACTAACCATCACGAAGTTGCTGTGAGACATTTGTACTATGCATTATCCTCAAATAAAAATATGAGCGCTGCATTTCCAGTTTACAGTTTGCTCAGTCTAGCCAAGTATAGTAGTTCAATGGCTGCCCTGCGGAGAATCATCATCAGTCAATTGCAAAAGGTGGTTTTACTTGGAACAGCTTACATCCCATGACAATTTCTTCAAAACCACCAAACAAAACCACTATCGCAGGTTCTTAGGAAGCGATCGATAGGTGGATAAAAATCTCAAATACAGTCTAAACCAGAGGTCTCCAAACTTGGCAACTTTATGACTTGTGGACTTCAGTTCCCAGAATTCCCCAGCTAGCATGGATCTAAACATCTAACTGACTGTGCTAACAACTGTACTAATAATAATTTCTGAGCTTCTTCTCTCTTCCTTTTTTTTCCTTAATAAATGAAGTTCCACCAAATCAACAATTTCTAGTTACCTGAAGGAAAGCCTTCATTCTCATCTTCTCAAAAACCCAAGGACTCTATAGGCTTATCTGGAAGCTGAGTGAGACTGTTCTATCTCAGGAAATTAGAAAATCAGTAAAACAATGTAATTGCACTTAGCAAAAGAAGAAAGACAAAAACAATAATTTAAAAAATCATTTTCCTGATGGATTTTGAATTAACAAAATTTGCTGGCATTATATAAAAAAGAGTTTTACTGACTATTCTATTCTACTAGTATAATAGAAATAAAACAGCCCTTTGAAGCAGATGTAGAGGTAAGCATGAGCCGTGGTGGCGTAGTGGTTAGAATGAAGTACCGCAGGCTACTTCTGCTGACTGCTGGCTGCCTGTAGTTCAGCAGTTTGATTCTCACCAGCTCAAGGTTGACTCAGCCTTCCATCCATGACTTTGTAAACTGCTTAGAGAGGGCTATAAAGCATTGTGAAGTATATAAGTCTAAATGCTATTGCTATTGATAAGGAAGGTTTTTTTAAAAAAAAAGAAAATTATGCTTGCATCTATGTGGATTTTGATAATTTTGCATATATAAATTTAATTTCACTTTTTGTGATATCTATACCTATATCAATCATTTATATGTGTGTGTACTGTATAAGTATGTGTATGTGCCTGCAGACATTAAAATACTGTTTTCCAAGAAGATCCACCCATAGAAATAAAAAGGGGTAGGTTTTTAGATAAAGTAGGTGGGCATAGCAACAGGGAAATTGTCCAATGGGATAAAATGGTAGCCTGAAGTATGAGATGAATATTTATAAACTGATGCCAATCTGAATAGGATTTTCTTAAGATGGTTTAGGATCAAACTGATATTTACAGAGGACAGGTATGTGCATATATGCTTTTAATCAATGTGAACATAGCAACAGGTGAATAACAATCACATGTTAAGGTGTTGCCATTACATGGTGTGAATCAAATTAAAACATGATTTATTTACTGATTTGATTAATTATGTTTTATACAGAAATTGCATAAACAAGAGTTCCATTGTTTCAATGGATTTTTGCAAACCGTGTGCTTCAAACGTTATTTGTCTACATTTGAGAACAATTAATATATTTAGCACGTTATAGAATATAGTTCAGGTATTTTTGCTGTGAAAATCAATTAATACCTATTTAAAAGAAAATGCCAAAAAGTACAAATAAACTAATTATATGAAAGGTACTTATATTTTTCAGGTCCTCAATCATCTGCATAAGAAGCTGAGGAACATATCAAAGAAGTCAGAAGCATCCAAGAAGAAGGTAGAAAGCTTTTCTTATAAAACAAACTATATAGAGCAATATCTTTATTAAACCAATTAGTATGTCATGAAGTAATTTGAATGTGTTTGAGTTCCCTTTGTCATACTATGATAAAGCAAAGAAAAAAAGGTGGAAAAACGATAGTTTATATTGGAGTTGCCAGTTAAAATTAGAGTAGGAATGAGACAACAGGTAACAGATATTAAGCTTTACATAGTTTTCTGAGGGTATACTAGAATTCATAAAAAATAAGTATACTGTCTTGAAATGCCATTTTTGTCTCCCTGTATTAGCCACTTTGTCACTATGTTAGCCATTTTGCCTCCCTATATTAGCCAACACTAAATAGTCCATCAAATTAAAAACAACTTGGTAATTTACTTTGAGTAATTTCAGTATTTTTCTCAGAAGTTCTGTCCAGTTGTGGGGAGATCACTCCATTCTAATACCTCATCAACACTAACTTTCATAAGAAAAGTCTAATAGTTTCTCCATATGTTGTTTTTAACATGTGGCTTTAACCTCATTTCGGGAATAGAGTCCCAACAAGATAGTTTTAATGTCATGTAATTAAATTAAAACTAGAATAATACAAATGGCTGAAATCTTGGATAATATCTACAATGTTGGAGTCCTTACAAGATTTGGGGGGGGGGGAATTAAAAAAAGAATTCACAGCCTGGCTTTGATGTGTAAACATAAATGGTTTTAAAATGTATTTCATGTTTGGCAAGATTACTCTTTACATATTTTGCTTTTTAAGGAAAATGTATAAAATTACAATAAATAAACAATAACAGTAGTGTAGAATCTCTCTAGTTGCCTATCAATAACAGTATAATGACTCTAATGGCTGTAACAAGACGTTGGAAGAGATTCTCAGCTATTATATGCCATTACTACTTTCAAAGGGCTCATTTCTCATTTTTTAAACTGTCATAACATGTACACCTTTGGATTTTTAAAAAGGACAAAGGAGAGATACCTATAAATTAAATGTAAGTAATATATCTTTTGTTTTACCTGGGTTTATGGATAGAAAGAATTATGGTTCAATATAATCAGCAGATGAGTCAACACAAGTTGATTGATTAAAAAAAAAACCTCCTTAGTTAAATGAATGATAATCAGGCCCTTTTAGATAAAGATAAATTAAGTTTTTATTCAATTTTATAATGAAACCAACAGTCAATTCAGATAATCTATAGAAAATTGACTATTGGTTATCTGCATAGGCATTTGACTTAAAGGTTTCTGGACCAGTGACTATCATATCTCGGTATGAAATCTCTTCATGGTGAGTTAAGATCCAAGAGTCTACATGGGGCTTTGAGTTTTAAAAATTTTGACAAGTTTAATACAGAAATTTCAGCATGCCAATGGATAATTTACAAAGCACTCCTAAGGATATTATTCATAATTGAATGGCTCTTACTTCAACTTAAGTGTTTTTAGGATTGTTATCTGTGGATTTGAAGGGATAAATTCCTGTCATAAAAACCTCTCAAGCCACTGGAGGATTTGCTTAACACATATCCTTTCTTCTTTTCATTGCTTTCATGGTGCATTAGTAATTATTTGTATAACTTAATCCTGTGACAGCGTTTTCACATTATTTATTGTTTTTCTCTCTCTCAGACAGCTCAAACTGTCCTTGTGGTCGTAGTGGTTTTTGGGGTATCCTGGCTGCCACATCACGTTGTCCACCTCTGGGCTGAATTTGGAGACTTCCCCCTAACTCAAGCTTCATTTTTCTTCAGAATAACAGCACATTGCCTGGCTTACAGTAATTCTTCAGTGAATCCTATAATATATGCATTCCTTTCTGAGAATTTTAGGAAGGCCTATAAGCAAGTGTTTGAGTGTCAGATTGGTCACAATTCGCCTTTGAATGAAGTGAAAGATAATAAGAGTAATATAGACACGCCTCCATTTACTAATTCTACACATGTTTGAAGAATGAATGTGGTTGGCTGTTCTGCTGCAGTTGCATAGGAATGGACTTGCTCTAGCTGCTTTTATTTTTTAAAAAAAGGCAATTCCCAAACTGAGCAAATATTTCAAGTTTTGTATTGGTCATTGGTATCCAACTAATTGAAGTTCACTTTATTTTGTTGTTGGCAGGAGTAAGAAAATCTCATTCATAGACAAAGCCTTGGTAGTACAGTGGTTTAATGTACCCTGTTATTAACACAGCTGCCTGCAATTTCTGCAGGTTCGAATCTTACCAGGCTCAAGGTTGACTCAGCCTTCCATCCTTTCAAAGGTAGGTAAAATGAGGACCCAGATTGTGGGGGCAATAAGCTGACTTTGTATAAAATATACAAAAGTATGAAGGCTATTGCTTAACGCATTGTAAGCCGCCCTGAGTCTCTGGAGAAGGGCAGCATATAAATCAAATAAAAAAAATACTTTAATACCCTTCTTTCTGAAAGAATTTTAAATGAGAGTTGTTTTTAAAATTAAAACAGAAATCAAATAAGGTTAATATATAATTCATATTGCTCTAGTATATTTATGTTATGCTTAAAATATTATTTTCTTTCTTATACAAATTTATTAATGTAAATCACTTAAGCCATTTTTTTTCTCAATATGTATATTTCAGTTTGTGTGTATCTCAAATGAAATGGGGTTCAAATTGAACCAGAAGAATTTGAATGGTTGATCTGGAATATCTTACTACTTTCATGAATTGTGGAATGACTCTGTCTACCAAAGTTACATGTGATCACGGGGATTCTGCAACATCGTAACTGAAGAAAATGGTCATAAGTCACTTTTTTTCACTGATGTTGTAACTTCAGATGGTCACTAAATGAATGGTTGTAAATTGAGAACTATCTGTAGGGTAACTCTTGCATAAAATTAGTTTGTATAGACACATTTTTAGATTTTAAGGAAAGTAATTCAGAATTAATAGTATTGTAATTTATATTCTGCCTCCATCAATAATTTTATGCAGAGCATATAGTTTGCTTACTTATTTAAACAATTCTATATCTTGGATCCATGCTAATTAACTCTCTCCCTGGTTTATGATTAGAGTGGATTTCAAATTAGTTGATTTTTTTCTGGTACTTGATATTTACATAAAGTTTATAATGCCAGATACAAATTATGGGTGGTGAACTTGATTATTTACTATAATCACAAAGAAGGTGATAAAAGTGCTTCATATGCATTTTTATAGATGGACTAGAATAGGCAATAAACTGACATATAGCTGCTTTCATTCAGACCTACCAGTTACTTCTACTGTAAGTGTGTCTGACAAACGCATGGGATACCTTCCTAAACATTTTGTGATGAACTGAAAGAAATACAATTATAATGGAAAACTGATCCTATCAAGCATTTTTTTAAAATATGTTTTTAAAACTTCAAATCTGTTCTACAGATCTGACATGTTGAATGAGGGAGTACCTAGTTCATGGTTGCATGTTACAAAATGCTGTTTCTCCATTTTGATGAGTTCCTTGGCTCTGATCATTCTGAAACAAATGGTCAATGTTCCAAAGATTGTAGAATAATAATAATAACAACAACAACAGGTCAGATGCCCGAAGACCAACTGTAACAAGGATGAGCTGATAACAGGCAGTGTTAGAAAGAAAAGATGCAGAACTAAAAGCACAGATAGTCCACACTTAATGAAGGCCTCATTCACTGACTGCTTGAAGTTACGACAATGCTTAAAAAATAACTTTATAACCAATGCCTGCATTTGTGACCTTTGTAGCATCCTGCAGCGGTGATCTACATTGTACACATTGTGTTGTGCCTAACCTATTGTTATTGTTTTTTCCCCATTGTAGAGTGGAATTACTGAAAAGGAAGAAATTACAAGAGAGTAAGCAGCCACCCAGTGGGGAATACACATTGAAAGTAATGCTGCAGTGAACCAGTTATGCAAACAGCCTGTATATTACCCCACTGGGTGCCTTAGTGTTACAGATTTCCTAATTAGATGTGTTTTATCTGTTAATTTCAGCACGTAGGGATTGTTGCATATCACTGGTGCATCATTCTTACCTCACATCAATCATGGTATAGGTGCATTCCTCATTCATGTATATTTGATGATTGATGAAAGACTATTTTTAAAAGATTATTTTAATCCTGCCTTTATAGTTTCTATGAATAACTCAAGGTGGAAAACATGCCTAACACTTATTCCTCCACTATTTTCACCACCACAACCACACTGTGAATTGGGTTGAGAGAGAGAGTGACTGGGCCAAGGTCACCCAGTCAACTTTCATACCTAAGGTGGGACTAGAATTTAAGCTCCCCCAGTTTCTAGCCTGGTGCCTTAAGCACTAGTCCAAACGGACTCAGTATCTGATGAATATGTCTTGTGGATATATTTAAATTTAGGTGGATATTTACCTCACTGATATATCCACATGTTCTGGAAGGAAGCTTGTCAGGAAAAGCTGATAAGCACAATGACTACCTGTGCCAGATTTTAGGGTGTGGTAAAGCATCTTTGGTATGCTAGACTCCTTTTTTTTAAAAGAAAAAAGTGATTTAGCAGGTATTTTATACAATATATCCCATTCTCTCGTTTCTCTTCAGATTGATCATATCCCATTTTGCTCATGGATTCTATAAAAATGTTAGGTACTCAAGATTACTTCGTTATCATACTCTACCAATTAATCATCAATATCTAAAAAATGGGAGCAGTGGAAGACACTTTAACCCTTGAAATCTGTGTCCTGTACTGTTTTTCTCTAATGCTTGGTAATGTATCAGCTTAATGTTCCACATATCCTTGAATGTGATAATGAGAACATCTCAACCAACACCTTCAGGAGCAGATTGTTGATGCTGTTTTATGGAAGCATTAAGAAAATGGCCTTTTTTAGAGGGAGATCATAGTTAAGTGCATAAAAGTTTTGCTAAAATAAATCTATAAATAGGCATGCTGATTATAAAGATGTTAATTAAGAAGAGTTCTATATTCCCCAAAGTAAAATTCTTTTCCATCTTGAATGATTCAGTGATTCAAACCTTTCAAGCGAAGGAAAATGCATGTTTATGAACATTACTCTCTTTTGGAAACTTACAAAATAATATTTTTCATAGTTGTGCATCTCGTAAACTGACGAAAGAAGCATCGCTAACATGTGACAAGTAAAGAATGAGAAGAAATAAATGCTGCCAAGGCTGAATTTAATCCAGAGCTGTGCACAAAAGATCACAAAGCAATGACTTTAAGCAGATTGTGTTACTTGTTTAATTTCTGGTGTTTTGTTTTTCCGTTGAAAAATTGCATATGTATTTCTGTACCTGACTATATAGCACAAAATATAAACACTGCTTGATACTGCATGTGTGTCTTAATATTGCATTTATTTATAATGTCTCAAGCGTTGGGTTGTTGTTGTTGTTGTTTTAGTTTTTAATTTTCTTAGTTACTGGGTAGCTGTATATAAAGCTTTGTAGTGACACATCTTTCTGCATTATCTTACTGGCCTAACATTTCTTGGCCCATGTGTGTATTTGTACAAAAACAGCAGTTCTATTACAGCAAAGATATAAAATCTCTTTATCAAGGTTGAATCCTAGGGACTTCCTTTACATATAGATGCAGTCATACATGTAACACAACAGTACAAGAGTGCTTTAATACTATATATAGATAGTGTACACTATGTACAGAACTGCTTTATCACAGTACCCTTCTAGATACTTTACTTTTCTATTTTATTTTTGTCTTCTCAGTGTATCCCACAAGTCTGGTGCTCTCTGGTAGTCTGTTACTTACATGGCCCAACATTATTAATGTCCAGGTTTTGGTAAGATAAGCCCAATGAGCAATTCAAATTGAGACTCAAACATTTACATATAACAACAATATTTCCATTTGCACCAATGAAAGTAGTGCTTCTACATCACACAAACATCTGGCTTTCCATCTATGATGCGTGACAATTGCCTATCCTGTACATGCTAGAGTATTTGTTTCTGGGAAAAAAAAAGATAAGTAAATGTGATGAATATTGTTTTAAGCTGAAATTCCTAATTGCTCTAACATTTTAAAGTATAATAACAGTGTCAACTATTATTGCTATACTGTTTGTAGAAGATACTGCTTTCATGAGTAAGACAAAATAAATAGTAGCCATCAAATTGTATTGTTGTAACTTCATTGATAAAAGGGTAAATAAAATTATAGCAATAGGTGAAACCTATTTAAAAACTTCTCTCTCTCTCTCATCTCTCATCTATCTATCTATCTATCTATCTATCTATCTATCTATCTATCTATCATCTATCTATCATCTATCTATCTATCTGATGTGCATCATGACATAAATTGGTGTTTGACAGATATTTACCTTTACCTCTTTCATATGCCTTTTGAAAGCCACATCTGTCTCTCTCCCTCCCTTTTTGTCTTACATAATACATAAATGCATGAATACAGCTGTTCTTTTTTTCAGTGTCATTCCATCATGTGTTAATCCCCGTTTCAGAATATGTCTTATCATATTTAACATTTATTCATCATTCTTTGAATCTCCTCTTACCCACTTCCAATTCTGTTTTTATCCAGCTTCCACAGGTATATTTTTCATTTTCTATTTCATAATAATGTCAGCAAACAAATACATGCAGAGAGAGGTAAGGGAGGCGAGAAGAATAAATGCAATACTCTTCATGTGACAAAAGTGTTAGGAAAAGTAAAAAGAAAAAAAATAAACAGTTATTTTGTTGATTTAAATAAAAACCAGATCTTAGATTGGCAATTTGAATTCACAATCTGCTTCATTTTAGCACTGAGTAAAGAGTTACTTCACTTTGTTTCCCCATTAAGATGCCATCCTCACTTGGAAATAACATCAAAAGTTTAACTTTTTACTGCCAATAATCATTTTCATATAGGTATATGTTAATTGTATACTGATTAATATATGTCAGTAGTTCACAAATACTAGAAGAGCTGAATAAAATATTTTTATAAAATGATAAATATATTAAATTATGTTTGTAGACCTAAATGTGATAAGATGCAACAGAGATGTTGCATATTACATTTAAAGTAGTAGTACATATTTACTGGATATGATTGAGACTCACTTCAAAGATGAAAATAATTTAGCTTTGATAAAGAATGGAGATGATGGGTGGATTAACCCAACTAAACTTTGACTGATGACTATAAATTCTAATTATGCAAAACCAAGAAAACAGAGATGCTAATTAGGAGGAGGATATTTTCTAAATTTACTCTCAGAATTTATTGGAGTTATAGTTGTAACCAGGCAAATCTGGAATGTGGTTCAATTTGGATAACACAGTGTGTATGTATGTGTGTGTGTATGTGTGTGTGTGCAAAAGAGAGAGAGAAAGGAAAAAGGGAAAGGAAGGAAGGAAGGAAGGAAGGAAGGAAGGAAGGAAGGAAAAAAAAGGAAAGGAAGGAAGTTTATACGCACATAAGAAGAGGATAAAATTTTATTGCAAATTTTATTAAAAGATAGTTATACTGGGAAGAAATATTCTGTATGTCCATTTACAATATTTCTATTGTAAATAGAAATATTGTAAATGCTACTATTTCCTCAACGTATACTGTATATTTGGCAAATCTCTATATATAAAAGCAAAAGCCACTCACGCCGTAATCATAAAATCTCCAGAACTGTAAAGCCTACAAACTTGAAATTTGCCACGTATTCTAGGTGCTTCTAGGTGCTCACTAAGAAAGGATTTTTTGAAATGACCATCAGAGCATTAGTATTTCCTATATTATGATTAACACACACTCATGCTAAGGAGTTCTACTCCCCCTCCCCACCTGAAAAGAAATCTGTTCCAAATGCAAAACACAAGCAGAGGAGAGGAGTTTCACTTTCAGTTTTACTTTCACAGCAGAAACCAGGGCATACGATAGGGGAGACTTCTGTGGGGCAAGGCTGAGGGAGAGAAGGGGATAGGATAGGAGACATTTTTGTGGGGAAAGGCTGAGGGAGAGAAGGGGATAGGATAGGAGACGTTTTTGTGGGGCAAGGCTGAGGGAGAGGAGGAGGATAGGATAGGATAGGGTTCTGTGGGGCAAGGCTGAGGGAGAGAAGGGGAGAGGAGAGGCTGATTGTAACTGTAAGTGTTGATTTATCAAGCCCAATCACATAGTTTCATAGCGAAGCACGGGTATCCAGCTAGTAAGTTTCTATATTTCCTGGTCAGCTTCAGTATAACCTACATTAAAGTGACCTTTCCGTTTACATTGTTGAACAGTCTGTGTCCCATTATAGCCTTTGTCAATTTGGACTTTCACATAATACTATTAACTTATAGAAAGTGTAAACCTGTGCATTGTTCATTATTTCTTGCTAACAATAAGGACAATACAGATCAAGATGAGAGTATCTTTAACAATATAACAAGAAGCACAACTAAAGCCCAGTATTACCCCAAGTGTGCTGCTACCAATCTATGCAAGTGTCTATGGAGCTTCTCAGTCATCCAGGTCATGGTAGACCCAAAGGTGTTTTTCAAAAAGCAACTGGAGTCTCTCTTGTTTTTTTGTTTTTTTTTTGAAGGTGTTTTGTTTCTCACCCAAGAACCTTCAAGATAAGAAGTGATGAATGAGAATTGAAACATCTTCAAGGGGGAAAAAGAAAAGTCCAGTTGCCTTTTGAAAAGCATTGTTGGGACACCCTATGCAAGCTAGAATTTCGAATCCAGATATTATTTTGTTGTTGTCCATTTCCTACCTGGTAAGATATAATGTTGAGTATTGACTTGCTTAAAATGCACAAATGTTTCTGTCATTCTATAATCCCATTGGTATGGATTTCAGTAGTTTTTACATTTTCCTTTATTCTTTCCAATTGCCTCTATTAAATCTCTTCCGTAATTATTCTTCACTATTTCTATTTCAGTTATAAAATTTCTAATGAAATTCATTCTCCTGTTATTGTTATTTTTATTTAGTTGTTGACATTCTTGATTGAGCTGTCTGTCTTTGTCTTTCCTTGCATAACTCTGTAAATTTTCATTTGTTAGTCATGAATCTTTGTTTCCCAAGGCCTTTTTTTTCCATTTTGCTTTTATCGCAGCTTATTCTTTTCATCTGTAGTGCTGGAATATTTTTTTTCTGCTTCTATTTTCACAATGTCCCTTATCTTTTTCCATGGTTCTTCAGGGTTTTTTTCTTCTTCTTCTTATAAGTCTACTGAATCTATTCCTTAGAGTGATTCCATAGTTGGATCAGACAACTTTCAAGTCAAAACTTCCACTATACTTTATGGTCATACACTTTTCTCTGTATATTTCACACCATTCATTCATCATCTGTGTGACAATTGAACAATCATGTAGCAGTAAACTTTCTGCCACTTCTTTCTCTCATGTTATTTTATGCCCTGGATAATCCATGAAAGGATCTGATTTGAAGTCCCTATTCCACTTCACCTAAACTCTCTTACTCTTAAAATACCCAATCTGGTAAATATATTTCCATGTTGTCAGTGTTGAGTTTTCCTTGGTTCATAAGTATTTTACATTCTATCAGTCCTTTTAAAACAAGGAACTCCACTTTCAGTTCTACTATCAGTGACCAGTTTCTTGTAGTCTCTGGAACTACAGTACTTGGGAATGCATAGAACTACAGCTGAGGACTTGGCTTTTAAATATAATTGAAGAAAGAAAATAAAAAGGTAAAATACTTTTGATCTATTTGTCCAAAGTCCAAAAGACATAGAACTTAAAACACAATTTTGCTAAGAATATTCGAATAGATTAGCAGTCATACAATCCAGTGGTGGGTTTCAAAATTTTTTACTACCGGTTCTGTGGGTGTGGCTTGGTGGGTGTGGCATGCCTTGGTGGGCGTGGCAGGGGAAGATAAAATCTCCATTCCCTCCCCACTCCAGGGGAAGGATACTGCAAAATCTCCATTTCCTCACAATCAGCTGGGACTTGGGAGGCAGAGAATAGATGGGGAGAATAGATGGCAGGGCCAGTCAGAGGTGGTATTTACCGGTTCTCTGAACTACTCAAAATTTCCGCTATCAGTTCTCCAGAACTGGTCAGAACCTGCTGAAACCCACCTCTGATATTCCACATATAGCGGAATATTTTAAGTGATAATTTCCATACATAAATTATAGATAGATACATGCACACACACACATTTACTTACCGTATTTGTCAAAGTGATGTTTCACCCAAATTTAACATTTTCAACTATGTTCATACAGTGTTCTAGGTAGCAATATAGCAGTGGGTTGCCTTTGCCTTCTGGATCTGTCTTTCTCCACCACTATTTTATACCCTACTAGCAAGGTTCACCCTACCAGGAGCTCCCTCTCTTTTAGGGTCACTAAGACCATAGAAGTCTCCCCCAAAAGTCACTGTGATGAGCTCCTAGGCAGAGGATCATGAAATTAGATGATCTTGCAAGATATTGTTAAGAGTTTTATTTGACTGTTTTTTTTTCTTTTACTCTAATTGGGAATTCTCATTTTTCATGTTCAGTTTATGTTATTATATTGATATAACTTTCTTCAGAGTCATTTATTTGAGATGGGTGTCCATAAATGGAATAAAATAAAAATAAATAAAGTAGCCCAGGAAGAGTTTGTGAATAAATGACCATGGCTTCAAAACATTATTGAACTCGCTGGGGCAGACTTAAGAGAATGTTTTTCAAAAAAGTAGATATTTTGCAATTAGCCTGAAGATCTAATATGTACACGTTGTTAATTAGGCCACATTTTGTAGCATATCCATTTATCTAAGGATGAATATGGCACCAATTTTTGTTTTTCTCTATCTTAAATGCATGGCTTATTTCTTAGGCCCACTATATAAAACAAAAAAGAATATGCATAAGGTATACTAATCAAGCCCTTTGAGAAGGCTTTAAAAGATACACTGTACTTCAGGAGTGCAGTTTAATTGCTAAGTCGTTTAAAGAACTACAAATGCGTATACAGTCTGAGATCACCTCATTATTTTCATGGTGTTATTTCTTTTATATAAGTACAAGTGCTGAAAGTTCATTGGAGACCAATCAGTGTACATAAAAGTGTTTCTATATCAAATAGCATCTTCTCCATTAATGGAAAAAATATTAAAAACATAGTGCAATGATAATGTGACATATGGTTTATTGATTTAAC